CTCTTGCACAGGCCTCACATAGGTCATGCACAGGGTGCTGGAGGTGTCACATTAGTATTGTTGAAATGCTGCTCCAGTAGTCCATCCATCCATTTTCTAACCACTCAGTCCAATTCAGGGTGACGGGGGAGCTGGAGCCTGTCCCGGCCAGCAGCTGTATTACTACCTTGTAGACTGACCTCAGGAGCTAGACCAGATTGGGTCTGATCTTCACTTGGATGGAGATCACTAAGGAACTCCAAGTTGCTGCTAAAAAGTGGTGTTAGTAGACCAATAGGTGGTGACCAAATTTGCAAACCGATGTCCAAGCATGGTGAGTGGAGACATAGTGATATTGGAGCTGCTGTCCTTTGGATGAGACATTAAATTGAGGTAATTGCAGAGCTCATGGTATGGTTCATGGGGATATTAAACCTGGAGTCTGAGCTTAATTCCTCTGGTCTTGCACAGTTTGTTTTTTCTTGCAGTTCCATCGCAATTGAATGGTGAAACTTCTCACTCTTCCAGCAGATCTGCTATCTTGTGGGGCTGCTGGTACATAATGGGTTCAATATGTCACCCAGCTGGCTGCTGATGTGGAAATCCTCCCACAGTATATGTAAAGGGCTTTGGTTGGAATGCACTATAGTAATGCAAGGAATTATTTCAGTTGTTTGAATGCCGATGGACCACTTATGGCTCTGCAAACGGTTTCCCCGCTGTCTTTGTGCTTGCATCATTCGGTGCTTGTCTAGGCATGACTGAACCAGCTGTCCCCGCAGCCAGTGAGACAGTCCTGACGGGTCCGTGCTGCAAACTCATTGTCACTCAGAAACGTCACTGCCTTGCGATGAGGCGTGCACAGCCCTTTCCCAGCTGGGATTCCACACTGCCGGCCCCTCGGGCATCCCCTGGCCCTTCGTCACACAGCACACCCTGACAGCAGTCAAGCCCTCTGTGCTGCAAGGGCCAGGCCCCTAGCATGGGAAGACAATGGTGCCACTGGGAAGGCTGGGGAGTGGTGTCATCACAAAGGTCTCATCTTCCACGGCATCTGACTTCTGACATTTCTGCACATGAGCGGTTGAACGGAAACACTTCAAATCCCCAGAAGCCAGCCTTCTGTGTCGACAAACTCTTTCACTCTTTCTGCTTCTTTCTTTAACCAGGAGCACCGTCAATTTTCATCCTTCTAAAGACTAAAAAGTTTCAAACCATAAACCTCTGTTTTAACTACCTGCTTGGACAAGAACATCCATCCATTTTTAATGGATGCCCAATGGCCTTGGCCTTTTGGGTCAAGAACGTTGTATATCAGTAGAAGTAGGGGTGGTAGTAGAGGTAGTAGTGGAACTGCTCAGTCAGTCTTGTGTTCCAATATAAAAAAAAATAATATAAAAATATGGTTCTTTCAGATCAGGAGATTCAAATTACAAACACACTGATCTATGACAGCCAGTCCTGCCAGGGTCTTAAGATTCCCTACAGTATTTCATCTGGGTCCTGGATGGAAATCCAGCTGTTAAATGTGACTGCAGCTGCTGGGACTGTTGTCTTAATCCAGCCCCCAGAAAGCTTGTGGTCTAGTTAAAGGGCTCCTGTTGTACATTTCCTCTCACAATAAAGGTTTACAGTGATACAGGCTGGTAACGGGTATTAAGTCATGCAGGGCAGGGAATTGAGAGCCTTGTGAAAAAAGTATGGAGGTTAATTTAATTTAATATAATCAGTATTTCTCCCAGATTAAATGTTCGAATTTCAGATCTGGAAGAGCTTGGTAAACGTTACAAAAGGCACTCTTTGGTAACATGTATTTTTGGTAATTGGAGTGACCGTAGTCATTCCTTCTTGGGGCAGCTCATCTGTAGGAGCTGCCCAGTGAATCAGCAACTAAAGGATTTTATGATGATAGAGACCAGTAGTTCCCAATCCTGGTCCTGGTGACCCACACACAGGTAGGTTTTCATACCTTTCCACCTTAATTAGATAATTGAAGCCTTAATTGGTCTATGAAGTTGCTTCATTGGAATATGTGCATTTTGTGTCCAGTCACAAGTCTGGGATTTTACTTCACCTACAAAATACAACAGTTAAAGCTTCAAGAGGTTTAAGAGCTGGGAACAAACAGTTCACCTGAATCTTATTATTAAGTCAAGTGAAGGGTTTGATTGTGCAACTGAGGGCTTGGCTGGAAAAAACCTGGTGTGTGGGTCACTAGGAGCAGGATTGGGAACAGCTGATATTGACACACCAGCAGAATTCTGCAGAGATGTTCCTATGTCCCCCTTTGTTGTATGCATGTCAGTATGGTTGAGAACTGCTGGTAAGTGGGCAGTGTTCACCACCTTGCCAGTCTAGACAGCTAGACCTTTTTTTTTGGCAGGCACATTCTGCGTCCAGCGAGCCTTATTAAACCGCACTTTAGTCTGTCAATAAAGAGCTGGGCTGAAGGGATATCCTTGAGCTGCTCGGCTGAGAAGATGAATTGACGGCACTCGTAAACAGGCCGGGCTGGAGAGGGGACGACGGACTTCATTCTCTGAAGCAGGAGAGTCAACAACCGCCCCCATCCTAGCCCCGGAGTCTCGCCCAATCCGGAGAGCTCGCAAACACAGAGACACAAAGCCAGGAGGGCCCCTTCTAACTCCCACTCAATCATGATGGGAACAATGGGGGAAGCTCCCCCCCTCCCCGCACACACACACAGACAGGGGAAGCTCCTCTTTTCTTGGCACTCTTTGGTGTTTTAATCCCCAGCTTCCTCCTCTGCTATAATGGACTCCCTGAGATGGCCTTTTGCAGTCAGGGCAGCTCCAGGCCAGTGCGGGTCACAAGTCCATGCCTCTCCTGCTCCGCCCTCAGTCCTCCTCCCTCCTCCCTCCTCCCTCCTCCCTGCTCCACATGCTCACACCCTGCCCTTCTCGCCCTCTCCATCAGCCGCTCAGTTTCTGTCGACGCCACGCTTTGTACTCGTTTTTATTTTCTGTTTGAAATTACTGTCGTAACTGGGGCCACGCTGGACAGCATGTGATCATTTACCATTTTCTCGGGTCTCCTGAAAGCCTATAAAACCACTTGCCTAAAGGGACTGTAGTCCAGGACATTTCTGGCTCTAGCCTGGGCTGTGCCATCCATAAGTTGTGATCGGATTCTCCAAAGGATGACATACAAAGAGCTGGGGTATCCTCAGTAGTGCAACAGCAGCTCCTCTGCCTCTCCAGCTAAGGGCCAGCTCTCAGAGATTTTAGTGAGAGATAGAGTACTCTGACCAAAGACCTTCTCTCCTGTGAGGGGCCTGGCAGATCTGAAAGTTTCTAAGAAACGTAAACGACTGACAGGTGCACGCTCTCGGACAGAAAGCACGCACTTCATTCCCATGCCCCATGCCTCACCTACACCAGTGCCACAAGGCAGCTTGGAGCGGATTGACACTTGACGATCCCAGATGGGGGAGGCACATAACCTTCTTCATCCCAGTGATGAATCTCAAGCATGGCCTGGGAGCAGAGCCTTGGCAATAGCTCTTGCTGATCTGTCTCTAGCCAGTGCTGTCCTCCTCCTCTCTCTTCTCCTGTGCTGCTCAGTAACTCCATATCTCGAGACAGTGATCAGATCAGGAAGAACTGTATTTTTAAATGTAAGGAAATACACTTACGTTTTGCCAGCTGCGCTGGAGTGCATGTTCTTCCAGTCAATGTCTTCCTTTTATAAGCTTCCAAAGCACCCTGTCTTGATTTGGATGTGATCCACTGTTCCTATTAATTATTATTAATAATAATAATACCTTGCTTTTATGCTTTTAAAAGATCCCACAGCTCTGATCTAGGAGGGAGAGCACCTCATTCTGGTCCACCAACAGCAATTACAGCAGCAACCTGGTTTTCCTTGGAGTTCTCCATCCCAGTAGTGCCAAGTCCAGCCTTGCTTAGCTTCTGAGATCTGATCAGACCAGGTAATTAAGTGGAAACACTGCTGCTTAGGGACTGTGAAGGCGAAGCTGCAAAGTTGCCAGAAACTGTAGTGTGGGTTTCTACAATCCTGAGAGCCCTGGTCCTGTAGGCTTCATAGATCACTTTAAACAACTGCCCCAGCCTGGTGCCAAAAGGTTTAAATTAAATGTCTAATGTTTTTTTTTTCTGGACCTATAGTGGGAGTACAGTAGATTTGAATGAGTTGCTGAGGGCGATAGAGAATAAGTTGCCTGAAATGAATTGAGGCTCTGTAATCATAGTTTTGTCAACATGAGTGCTTCTGGGTCCTCATACAGTCACTTGTCGCCCTGACAAGTCAAGAGAGAAACAAAAAAAACTAACCATGTTTTAACTCAAACCTCCCTATTTGTCTACTGAAGAAAATGCAGAAACTTGGAATTATTATTTTTTATTTTATAACAGCCTTTACTGGAATATAAAAACTGCTCTGCTGAGCAGGACATTTTATTATTTTGAATTCTAAACTGATAGAAATTACTATGTTTAGAATTAATAATAATTGCATTCGTATAAACGTCTTCAAGACTCGTGCCGATTAAGCAGGGGCACCGCACGTTAGAAGTGAAAACTGTGACGCTCCTGACACCTGCTGGCTAAATGTGGTAATGCAGTAGACAAAAATCAAACTGACACCAGTCGTATTATTTTGTCAGGCTAATTAGTTGTTTTCAAGGCTTGGACAGAGTCAGCCCAGTGGACTAAAACCCAAACATACAGGATACAAGAGGAAACTATTTGAAAGTGCATTTAAAATCAAGAACAGGGAGGATGTCTTGTGGGGTCTGGAACAAGCTACCCAGCCAGGTTATAGAAGCCCAAAACCCTGCTTTTTCAAGAAGATCCTTGGATCAATTACTGACTACCAAATATACTACGTGGGCCCAATGGTCTCCTCTCATTTGTATTCTTTCTTGTGTGTTTTTTGTAACCTTTAAAAAGAAATTCTGAAGTCAATATTAAGAATCCTTCTCAATTATGTCGTCTAACACTGCAATACAAATAGCAATGAAAATGTTGCTGCATTCACTGTTAAAAGTTCAAACACCCTTTATTGCTTCTCCTATTAAAAATGAGGGAAACGATTCATTGTTACAATATGCTAGACAATGTACTACTGGTGGAAATCATCGTGACATGCTTAATCAAATGTGTTCTCTTTTTTGGGAAAAAAAAAGTCTTGGCCTTGCTTGTTTTGTTCATCCCTGACAGGTATGCCTGTATTTTCCTTTTTGAGGGGGAAACGGGACGCGTGAGGCTCCTGGGGATCTGTGAGACGCCTGGTCCGTTCGGCTCTGGACAGAAGGTGAGGAAATTGGGGGATTGAATCGGCTGGAGCTCACGCTGCTCAGAGACAGGTTGGAGTTGTCATACAGGTGGAGTTGCTCAGGAAGCTCACAGGGAGGGACAGCTTGGTTGGGTTTTTCCAAAGGACTAGAGAGAGAGGAATCAGATGGTTATAACTGTGAAACAGACATTCCTGTTGAGTCTGCATCATGGAAGGCCAGGTGTATAGTATTTATTACTAATACTAGCACAGCAGAACTGGTTTTCCTCGCAGCATTTCTGCTATTGTGCAGAAGGCTGATTTGTACAAGTCCCTGCAAGACAGCCAGTGCCAGCCACTGCTGTGTTTGTGTCTACTTCTTTTTGTGCAAGGTGCTGAACTGCATACGTATTACAGGTGTTTTTACGTATTACAACCCTCTGTGGGTGGCCGTGTGCTTGCAGTTCAATCAAAACTAAAGGAATTAGGGGTGATAATAGATCCCAGCTTGACTTTTGACCCTCATATACAGAAGGTTGTAAAATCGTTTTTCTTCCATTATTATCGACATCATCATCACCCCTGACTCTGGCCTTGGATCTTATACAGTCTGACCTATAGGTACATAAAGTTCCTGCTTTATTTCATTGGTGAAGCAGTTTCTCACTCCTCCCCCTGCTATGCCAGGTAGTGGGGCTGCAGGAGCAGAATGGCTGATGGGACCCTGGTGGGAGTTGCACCTCCGTGCTGGGGTGAAGAGGGCCCTCTCCTGTATTTAATAATAATAATTGCTTACACTTATATAGCGCTTTTCTGGACACTCCACTCAAAGCGCTTTACAGGTAATGGGGACTCCCCTCCACCACCACCAGTGTGCAGCCCCTCCTGGATGATGCACCAGTATGGATGATGCACCAGTATGCTCACCCCACACCAGCTCTCAGTGGGGAGGAGAGCAGAGTGGCGAAGCCAGTTCATAGATGGGGATTATTAGGAAGCCATGATTGGTAAGGGCCAATAGGAAATTTGGCAAGGATGTAAACTTCAGTGTTATCCTTTGGGATGAAAAACATGTACAGCGCAGTGAATGCAATTAATCAATAATATTTTTATGAATATGGCTGCCCCTTAAGTAAGGCGATTACATTATTATTCGTGTGCTTTGCATTTTTAAAATGCTTTAAGATATACAGTGCCTTCAGAAAGTATTGAGCCTCCTCCACTTTTTCCACACTTTCTTGTGTTGTAGACTCATTTCAAAATGGACTGAATTGATTATTTTTTACCATCAATCGACACGTAATTCACCATAATGACAAAGTGAAAACCTGTTTTTATTTATTAATAATTTATTAAAAATTAAAAACAGAAATCTCCCATTTACATTTACATTTTGAAATAAGTGTACACCACCACAAAGTGTGAAAAGGTGGAGGGGTCTGAATACTTTCTGAAGGCATGGTATGGGAGGGACAATGACAGATGGAGACGTTCATGCAGAGAGCGATAATGTCACTGACTTCCAAGAGGGAAAGATCTACTGACAGATTCTGCAGCACAAATAAACCAGTGGAAGTGATTTACAGCTCGTGGGTTTTAATCAGTAGGGGGTCCCTGGCTTCTAGCACAGTGAGCCTCACAGGGCAGGAGACATGGGGAGACTCGAGAGACTGGACTTGTCGAGTTATTTGTTTTCAAGGGTGACAAGAGAGGAGAAGCAAGACTTCGGGCGGCAGGTTTGAGTAACGATTCAGACCGCTGTCACTCAAGAAGTGGACACCGATGTGTTCTCCCCCAAATCGGTTGGCATTTCTCTATAGCCGTTTGATGATGATTGTAAAATGTCATTTTTTTTTGTTGTGTGGTACTTTCTGTCTCCATGGTCTTTAAATGTTGCCCCGAGACCGGTCTGTAGATGATAGAGAAATGATCCAGAGTGCCTCCGTTAAACTTCGTCTGCCACGGATTTGACATCTGTCTTCTTCAGTGGGTGCTACACATGGGAGGTGTTGAAATATTTGTGACCAGACTGTTTATCTTTGGGTATTCTCTAATAATATGAAAGTGTAACAGCTCTTCCAGTTAAGGGTGTCATTATTGTGCACTGTTGTGTGGATATATTGGTTTTCTGACAGTTCGATATGCTCTTAAAGAGTTTCTGCAGAGCTCAGGCGTTTATCAGCCTGATAACTCCGACCTAAATGATTTTATCACATGCCCCACATGGTGCTCTTGAATTGGTATCTCATTTTGAAACAGTGGCTTTTAATCTTAATTAAGGTTAAATTAAAACAAAAATAATATTTTACATCTTTCATACTGGCTCGCCATATTATATACAGCTGAGCATCTTAAGGAGGCCATATAATAACTTAGGTTCTAAGATTCTTTACCACCCTACATTTAACACACTAATAGTTACCACACCAGTCATTAAAAGTGATTTTCTTTGCTTCTCCGTACTGTTGATAAAAATGTCTAAATGTTTATGCATGCTTTCCTTAAATGTAATCCCTTTATTTGGAGCATTTAAGTCCCCATTTCTGATCCAGAACACTGCAACTCTTAGTTACATTATGTAACTGTGGTAGTATATATGTTTTTTACAGATCAGTAAATATTTCTAAAATGCAAGTCATTTGAGAAAAGCCGTCCTCTAGATGAGCAAGCAACACTTAGTAACTAATGACTACATTTCCCACAATCCCAAAGGGCAGCGGTCCTCCTCTTGTGACGTCACGAACGCTAGGTGCGCTGAAAATGGTGACGTTAAACGACGAGCTTCAGCTGAGCTGTCACCAGCTGTTCGCCGAGGAAATAAAAAAGTGACGGGGGGCAAAATTGTGCTACATTTTCCACGCAGATTTTTTTTTTCAGCACAAAGTGGTCGAAATAAATACCTAAACACTGTGCACAAGGACCGGAGGGGCAGAAGTAGTCGGGACAGAAAGACGAACACACAACGGCACAAACACGACGGAGGAGAAGGAGAGATTTGGAATTATATAACAAGATTGGGATAATATCGAATTCAGACTAAAAACGGTGCTGCTTCCTCTAAAGTGCATCGGTTGCTGTCTGTGACGCTCAAGAAACCCGAAAGCTTCGCCGACTGCCTCAGCTCTCCCCCGTGAGTTACCGTTAGACTGTGCCTTATGTATATTATTGTCAAGTCCTGTTCAAAAATAATACCGTGCACGGTGATGTAGCTCTTGTCTGTACGGTCATCTCCATTAGGTCACGGCTGGCGGCGACCGGCCGTTGTTGTCGTTTTCTCTCACGGGGAGCGTGTTGGTGACGCCAGAGGGGAGGTCAGGGGTCTCAGGCTGTACCCCAGCTGTGGTCACAATATGTACACAGTGTCTGTAACGTAGACGGCCGGCTAAGTTTGTGGGGGGAAGTTTCGGCACCGGCGCGCTGGGGCTGCAGACATTCAGAAAGCAGCAGCTCGAGTAGGCGAGTCCGCCCCACGGGTGATCCGTGTCGCTCCCCACGACCTGTGTCCTGGTCTCAGTGGCAGGAGTATGGTACACCTGTTATTGGGGTCTTCATCACCGTGACGCGTCTGCCTCGGGCTGTGCTGTGACAGCAGGCTCTGGAGAGGTGACGCTGTCCAGTGTGGTGTTTAAACCGAGCCCCTTTCCTGACCCCGGGGTACTGTGACTTGAACACGATGACGACTCTCCCGGAGAAGACGGAGATGTTTTCACATGGCTCACTCAACAAGTCACGTCTTTCAGGACCGATGTTTTGAAGGGCTCTGTCGACGCGAGTCGTTTCCTTTAATTGCTGAATGTAGCATCACACTGTGTGTGTGTTGGGGGTGGGGGGTTCATTTGAGCATTTAATAGCACAGATTACACAGAATAGTGCAGAATTTAATAGCACAGATAGCTCTTCGCAATCTTAGTTTAAGAACCGTTTATCGCAGAGGAGGGAGTCACATTCTGGAATCAGACAAAATGAAACTGACAGGAAGTCAGCAATAACGCCAGAACCAGGACAGTGACACAGTCTCGGTTCTTTCATTAAGAAAACACAGAATGAACAGAAAACAAAATCTTGCTGGATAAAATTGCAATCTTTAAAAAGGGGTCAGGTTTCTATGGATTAGTTGTAAACTCTTGTGACACCATTTTAAAACAGAGAGTAATCCTCCCAGGGTTTCAGCTGTGTGGCGATCTGAAATGATCGTTCATCTTTTATATTGCAAATGTCTTTATTCCTCAATTCAGCAAATGCGGCATATTTCTTTATTCCTTTATTCTACATAAAACGTGTATTGCAATTTCTTTTTAAAATTGAATGTGAAACATTTTGCTCCCCACTTAGATAGCAACACTAACTGTGAGAACAGTAATCGCTTCTGGGTGACAGATACAGTTATCAGTGTATCACAGCTGGGCAGAGTGTCAATAACATACAGTATCCAATCCAAGGCCGGTCGGGTCCAAACACTACACCAGAGTACACCATTCCTCCTGACTGCAATACATTGTGTCCAGGGCCATCGATAAAACAAGGATGAAGACCTCGTTCTGGTTAACACAGATGAAGGAAAATAACATGGCCTTGAAACATTCATCATGCAAGCCTCAGATTTAATCAAAATGACTGATGCATAACCATGTGCTTTTACAGGTACAAAACTTGTCTTACATGCATTTATTGCATTATGCTTTAGGCTTTTAATTTTTTAGGAGGCAACGTCCATTTTTACAGGTGGAGATCCTACTGTTTATGCTGGAGAAATGTTTCCAAGAAACAGCAGAGCTACCTGAGTAGGGGAACAATGTGGGGAGGTCACTGTAGCTTGTGTAAGAGCGCAGGCCTGGGCTGTAGGATGTCTTATTCCATTGTGGGCACTGGAGGGGGCGCTCTTGAGTCACTCCCCAGGTGTCTGTCGGTGTTGTTTGCAGGGGTCGTGGGGTTGTGGAGGCGGCAGGAGGATGAACGTGGGAACGGCGCACAGCGAGGTGAACCCCAACACGCGGGTGATGAACAGCCGGGGGATCTGGCTGTCCTACGTCTTGGGAATCGGGCTGCTGCACGTCATCCTGCTGAGCATCCCTTTTGTCAGCGTGCCTGTGGTCTGGACCCTCACCAACCTCATCCACAACATGGTGAGAGGATGAACGTGACAGCCACTGCCCCCCAGCCCCCAGGACTCTCCCCCAGCCCTCCC